GGTGACGGATCGGTGACGGTAATGAATTATTTCTCTTTTTCCTTTGCCACTTTGCAATACAACATTGTAAGTTAATCTGTCGACTAAGAATAAAACTAAATTACTTAAAAGGGCTTATTCAAGTATGGCTAAAGGTTTAGAAAGTTTCAAATTACCATTGAAATGGAAACCGGGTGCTGATCTCATGAGCAAAATGCTATTAAGCGATCCAGAAATAATGCGTATAATTATTCACTCTCTTATTGGTAATGCATCGATATTTGTATTACGCGTTTCAAAGTACTAATATATAAGTCGTATATAGGTGTAGATGTTCCTCCTGATAGCTACTCAGTAGTCCCAACTGAGTGGGCTGATACTAAAGGTGTATATACCCTGTATGCCTCACAAAACACGAGTAATGAAAAATTCATTTCAGTACTTGTTGCTATTCAAGAGGAAGTTAACCAAACTACAATTTTGGAAACCATCGAACGCTCAACGTTGGTTTATGAGAATTTTAGAATCTTACCCACAGTTTTGGTCATTTCTATCAAAAGCAGCTCTAGATTAAAGAACGATGGAGAATTTAGTGTTGCTGATGTTTCATTTTTGATGCAATGTGAATCTAAGTTTTGGGCGAACAAATGCTATTTATTTTTCCCTGATGATTTAGCCAACATGAATACAACTAATACATTTACACCTGCACTTTTTGCATTGTGCCATTTTATATCTAATCCCAACAAATCGCTCACCTTATCGCACACTTCAAACACCCAAACTATATCTTTAACCTGTGAAGCTAAAACACACAAACGGACTCAACAATAAAGCTTTATTTTTAAATAAATTACTCTTTTGATGTCTTGTTTCTTTTTTGAATATGATAATACGAACTTTTGAGGGTAGCAGATGATTTATATGACTTGAACAGGCCTTTTGCTTTACCTTTGTCAAAAATATCTCTCCAGTTTTTTCTCTTTCCAGGCTTGCTTAGAGTTTCAATAAATGCAGCATCTTCAATGGTATATTGCTTTGGGTTATCGCTTTCTCCTTCTCTTCTGTCATTGCCTTCGAGATACTCCTGGATCTGTTTAATTGAGAAAAGCCCTTCTTCGGCGTGGATGATTGTTTTTCTGTTGTTGCTAGTTCCTTGACCCTTACTTTCTTCAATGATCTTCTTCAGATTTCTTTTCACTTGATTTATAAGGTACCTGGTATCTGATTTGAATATCATGTCATTATCCTCCTTTGCCAGGATATCGTCTACAATATGGAATGCTAACACTAACGTCGGATCTTTCCAATGTTGTTGAGGTACTTGGTTCATGGTGTGGAATGTAAGAAAGTAACCCAGTGCTGCCATAGGATTTAGTGTTGCTTGCTGGAAATGATTAGATACAGCATCCGCAGTCAACAAAAAACATTTCTTTGCCCAAAATTTACAACCTGTTTCGAGCAGAAGTCCCTCAGCACTGACGGTAAATTCATTTTGAAATTCAGCGCTAGAAAAAGATTTGGTGACGATGACTAGAACGATGGGTAACATTTTGTAACGCTTATAAACATCAGACGCATAGTTTATAAGCCTAAGCATGAACTCTTGATTAACTCGATATTGGATTTCAATTAAAATCGGAGGGAACTCTGTGGACGCATAAACCATGTCTGACCGACTACCGTCAGCCCACTCAGTTGGGACTACTGAGTAGCTATCAGGAGGAACATCTACATCTATATACGACTTATATATTAGTACTTTGAAACGCGTAATACAAATATCGATGCATTACCAATAAGAGAGTGAATAATTATACGCATTATTTCTGGATCGCTTAATAGCATTTTGCTCATGAGATCAGCACCCGGTTTCCATTTCAATGGTAATTTGAAACTTTCTAAACCTTTAGCCATACTTGAATAAGCCCTTTTAAGTAATTTAGTTTTATTCTTAGTCGACAGATTAACTTACAATGTTGTATTGCAAAGTGGCAAAGGAAAAAGAGAAATAATTCATTACCGTCACCGATCCGTCACCAATACCGTCACCCTTTTTCCA